GGAGGGCGGTGTGAGGTTCACCTGGGCTATTTTGGTTCCATGAAGTCATGGGGCCGCGGCTGCTGCTGCTCTCTGGCACAGAGCGTTCCCTGCTCTGCAGCCCGGGCTCCCCCTTCCCGCCCCCAGATGTGTGCACAGAGCCCATTGCATCAGTGTCCCAGGAATGCAGCCAGCGGTGAGTAATTCCCCCAGTACCCCTCGCCCTCCGCAGCTGTGTGTCAGTGCCCCGAGGTCGCCAGGGGTCGCTGGCCCAGACATCCTCCCACAGCCAGGCCCGGTGGGGAGGGCGGTGCATGGGTTGCTCCCATGTGAGGAAGATGGGGGCAGGGGCTGGCTGTGGTCTGCCCCTTTCACCCCACTGTTTCCTCAGGAAGAAAAAACAAGTGGGTGAGTCTCCCTGGCTGGGCCATCTGGAGCAGGACAGGGGCAGTTTTATTTATTGTAGGGTCTTTTCCCCTGGCCCCCCAGGGAGCTGAGCCCTGCCCAATTCTGGGCTTTGCCCTGAGTCCAAGTCCTTATTACCCACAGAACCGGGCTGAGACTGGCCACGTGTCCCTGAGCGGGCGCCTGCTGCCATAGCAACTCCCAGTAACACCCCAGCACAGGGGAGCCCAGGCAGTGGGGCCCCCCAGCCCTTTTAACCCCTTGTGCACCAGCCCCACGGCCCTGCTTTGACTTCATTGTGCTGCGTGCCATGTGCCATGACTAGCACCCTGTAGACCTGAGCTCCCTGGGGCGTTGGCAAGGCTGGGGTGGGACCCCTAAGACGTGGCAGTCTGAGTCATTTCTAGCTGTGAAATAGTGACGGCACCAACACACACACACAGACACACACAGGCCACTCCCCACACACACTTTCACATCCTCTTGCTCACCATTGCTGGTTGCTGAGGGATACATGTGCAAACAGAGACTCAGTTTCCTGCTGTGCCCATGGCACTGCCCTCCCATAACCCATGGGTACCACAGCCCGCCCGCCTCCCGCATGGCGCCAGCTGACTGGGCTGCCAGTCAAAGTAGGCTGTTGGGGAGCAAGGCAGATAGAAGGGAATCAGCATCTTCTTCACCCAACGGCGAAACACAGACAGATAGAGTGACGGACGGACTGGGTGGGGTCTGTCCCTCCTGATGGGGACCCTGGCCTGGAGGTTTCTCTCTGCTCCAGCGCTCACCCCCCAAGTTGGTGCTGCTGCCCGGCGGGCTCCATGTCACCCTGATGCTGGATTGATTTTCACTGGCAGCCACTGCAGGGGGAACCTCTTGGGCCCCTTGACACAGCACAGCCCCTCCAAGGGATTCCCAGCCCTCCGCTCCCTGCTGGGCTGCGTATCCCCTGGAACCAGCCCCTGCTCAGACAGACAGATGGACACTCATCTCCCCTGGCCCAGAGTAATGCAGAGCAACTTCCTAGGTAGGGGTGGGAGGAGACCCGCTTGTCTGTGTCAGCCCTGGTCAGTCTGGGGGTGGAGGGGAAGGTGGGATGGGCAGGACGCAGACATGATGAAAGGATGAGCTGGGGGAGGAGAGGGGCAGCTGGCAGTGAGATGGAGGGATGGAGGCAACACCAGAGGGGTGAAGGATGAATGAAGCGAGGGGAGCCCTGAGGCAAGGATGGGGGCAGTGGCTTTTTGAGGTGGCTTTGCCCCCAATTCTCGGTGAGCTGGTTCCCTCCCCTCCCCCTGGGGCAGCTGCAGCATGGGGTGAATGGGGGGGAGGTGAATGGGGGAAGGGGTACAGACCCCTCCCAATTGAATTGCTTTTCTAGTTCAATCCTCCCTCCCCCAAACAGGGGCCATCCCAAAGAGGATCCAGCTGTGACAGGAAAAGCCCTGCAGCTGGCAGCCTGCCCTGCAACTAAGCGCCCCATGACCCTCCGCCACCTGAGAGCCCCCTGTTGCCCCTCCCTTCCACCACCTGAGAGCCCTATGCCCATCCCCCCACTTGAGCCCCCTCCCCCACCTGAGAGCCCACTGCCACCCCTCCCCCTTCCTGCCACTGCCCCCTCCCTGTTTGCCCTGCTGTCTGTGCTACAGGTTGGATGTGCCCCAATAAACTGGGCCAAGAGGCTGATTCTGCTGCCAGGGGGTTCAAAATCTCATCAGCTGTCCCCTGCTTGTGGTGAGGGCCCTAAATTCTGCAGGGATCCCTGTGCCAGGCTCAGGCAGTGCCCCAACACGTCCCCCCACATAGGTGCTGGAACTAGGGGTCCTGGCTTGAAGTGGTTTCCATCCTATACGGGATTTACAGTTTGGTTCAATAGCTCTCAGCTCCCACAATGTACAAATTGTTCCAGCTCCCCTGTACCCCCATCCATTACATCCCCCTGGCTGCCCCCTGGCTATTTATGATGCAGTGGGGATGTCATGCCCCTGTGTTGGCTAAGTGCATGAAACTGGCTGGGGAAGGAGGGCTTAGGAAGAGAAACAGATGGCCATGAGGCGGGGAGGGGACAGTACAGCCCCACCCCATTCTCGACCTGGAGACTCTCATTGCACCGCCCTTCCCCTCCCCATGCCCACCAGACCACTCCCCAGCGGGGTCTGGGACTTGGCCTCTGCCCCAGCCACCTTCCCGCCTGGGGTGTGGCACTGACTAGCCCCACCTTCCTAGCCCATAGTGCAGTGAACGCCCCCTGCCTGTCACTGCCAGACTGTTTTCATGGCACCTCCCTTGGTGCAGCTTGCCAAAGGGGCTGACAGCCTGGTTTGTTAGTGTAGGGTCACATGTGTGCACTGGGGCCCTGCGTGCTGGGTTGTTATTGTAGGGTTGTTATTGTAGGGTTGCCTGTGGGGATTGGGGCCCTGCGTGCTGGGCTGTTATTGTAGGGTTGCCTGTGGGAACTGGAGGTGTCAGGCTGGGTTCCTGTGCCATTTCCCTTCTCCTTCTAACTCAGAACCGACTAGATTCCCCTGGAGTTTCCCTGCACCCGACATCACCTCTGTGCTGTGAGTGGAGACACTCCAGCCCACTGGCTGTTCTGGGGGAGCCCAGAGGTGGGGCTCACCCGCCAGCCAGGAAGTCATGGGGAAATGACTTCTAGCACAAGATTTCTGGCACTTCCTGTTTCCGAGGGGCCAGGAAATAGCACAAAAGCAGCTTTGCTGCAGCCATGGCTCAGCCCTGCTGCCTCTGGCTCCCTGGCTTGGTGGGATTTTGGGGAGCGCTGGGAAAGCCTGGGGTGCCTGCTCTGGGTTGTGGGTGCAAGTCAGAGCAGCTTCTAGTAGCCCGAGTTTGGGCCCATTTTTCACCCAGCCAGCTCCCTGATCCCTCCCAGGGTCCTTTCCCTCCATACCCCCTGGGATGGGCTGTCCTGCAGTAGGGGCTCACACTGGTCATCATGGGCCCCTGGAGAAGGTGCTCCCTGCCCTTCAGCCCCAGGAGAGCTCTTCGGGCTCCTGCCTTTGCTCCCTGTTCATGGGAACCAAGTGAGGCCAGGACAGACTGCAGTTGCTGAATTCATCTGGACTGAGCTGGCACGAACAACCCTACAATAACACACCAGTGTGCGTACAAGTGACCCTGTGATAACACACCCATCTGTACAAAAACAACCCTGCAGTAACACACCTGTGCCTGCACAAGTAACCCAACAATAACACAGCAGGAACTGACTCTTGGGTTCTTGTCCCAGTTATGGGAGAGGTGTGGGGTCCAGCAGTGAGGGCAGAACACCAGGACTCCTGGGTTCCGTTCCCAGCTTCTATGTGCTGAGAATTCAAGCAATCACTGACATTAACTTTTGCTGTCTTCCCCCTTTGTTCTCTTCTCTGTTTCACACCCTCCCTCCCTGGCTGTGAGGGCTAATTGCTGTTTGTGCCAGCTGTGGAGCCTCAGGGGGGCAGGGGCTGGAGGGCTGGGCTGGGCTCCCTGCCCCACACTGACTCAGGCTGGGTGGAGTGGGATGTCAGTGGAAAGCTAGTGGGGTGGTGGAGGCCTGGCGAGCGCTAGCCTCAGGGCGTTTCTCACCCTGGCCTCCTGTACTGGGATACTATGGGAGATTTCCAAGGCTTTTGCCTAAGCAAATGTTTTGCACATTGCAGGGTCACCTCTTTCCATGAACTCAGCCGGGCTGGAGCCGCTGGGATGTGCCCCCCCAGTGGCCATTCCAGGGGGCTGGCAAGTGGAGAGGCCAGTGGGTGGGGAGCCAAGAGACCTGCTCTCTCCCCTGCCTCTGGTACGTGCAGGGGAGCGTGTGTATGTGACCCCCATGCTGCAGCAGTCTCTGGGCACTGCCCCCCAAACCCACTGGGGGCAGATCCTTAGCCCCATGCTACAGCTGGGAACTGAGGCCCAGAGAGATGCAATGGCCCGCCCAGTGCACACAGGAGGCTGTTGTTTGCAGTGTTGCTGTAGCGGGCTGGTCCCAGGATCTGAGAGACAAGGTGGGGCATGGAATAGCTTTTGTTGGACTCACTTCTGCTGAGGCCAGAGGCCAGCCTTTGAGCTACCCAGGGCTCTTCCTCAGGTCCCAAGGAGGCTGTGGCAAAGCTGAGAATCGAGCCCCGCTCTCCTGAGGCCCGGCCCTCTCAGGGCCTCAGTTTCCCTGTCTGTGACATAGGATAATGACCCCAGAGGAGCCATCAGGGATAGAATCAAAGTGCTTTTCCTCCTCTCTGCCTTCTGCCAGCCTCTTCCTGCCTTCTGCAAAGGGCCTTTGCAGGGAACAGCCCTGCGAGGGGCCCCGCTCGCTGCAGAAGCACCCCCAGACATACTTCCTTGGGGCGCGGGGATCAGGATCTTGCTCATTTGGGGGGGGGCTGCTGCTCCCCAAAAGTGTGAGCTCCCCCTTTTGCTACTTGCACTTGCATAGAAGCTCCCTATGGTTGAACTCAAGAGCGCAAAGCCGGACCCTTCCTGGCCCATCGCTGGGGTCCCGGCCCGGCCGGTGCCAGCGGTGTCGTGTTCTCCAAAACCGCCCCATCTCCGCGCAGCGAGATCCACCCCGCAGGCAGGGGGTGGGCGCAGCCGCGGCTGGTGACTCCTCCCTTTGGCGGGGTGGAAACACCCTGCGGGCGCTTCCAGGAGGGGTCTCGGAGCCCTGCTCCCGCAAGGTCCTGCCTGCGCGTCGGGAGCGGGGCAGCCAGCGCGCCGGGCTCCGCCATGCCACCCCCCGGGACCCTGCTGCCGCTGCTGCTGCTCGCCCTGCAGCCCGCCCGCGCCTTCAACCTGGACGTAGCCGAGCCGGCGCTGTTCCGCGGAGCCCCGGGCAGCCTCTTCGGCTTCGCCGTGGATTTCTACCTCCCGGAGCCTCAGAGGTGGGTGAGCGAGCGGCGGGGCCGGGGCCGGGGCCGCTCCCCCGCGGGCTTCTGGAGTCTTGGCACCTTGTTGAAGAACAAATTGTATCAAAGGGTCTCGGGTGGGGGTTCACGGCCCCCTGCTAGCCCGGGGCCGGGGGAGTGGGGGGGGTTCATGGCCCCCTGTGGGCGGGGAATATGGGGGGGGGGTTCACGGCCCCCTGTTACCCCCGGGGGAGGAGGCGTGTGCTCCTAGCCCAGCGCTGACTTCCCGGGCTCTGCCCCCAGTCCCCCTGGCGGGGCCCCGCCTCTTTCCGCCGGTCTGGGCACGCGGCTCCGGCACCGTGCCGCGTCCCGTCCGGTCCCGGCTCGCTCCGCGGAGCCCCGGTTCTGCCGGGCCCCGTCCCCCGGAGCCCCCCGCCCGCATTCCTCGCGCTCCCGGGCCCGCGCCTGTTCGTGGGATCCCCGCGCGGGGTGGACGCGCGTGGGGGCCGGGTGGGCGGGCGACGCTGCAGCCCGAGCCCCGCGCTCCGGTGGGACCCCCCCCCCCCCCCGCGGCCCCGCACAGAACAGGCTGGGAACGGAGCGTTTCCTGTAATCGGAGCCGGGGATCGGCTCCTTCCCTTGTAACTCGGAGCAGGCGGAATTCCAGCGCTGGAGGCGCTTTCTCCTGGCGGCGCAGGGACCGGTGGGGGCACTCCCTGGGAGAGGGCAGCTGGGCGGGACGCTGCGGGGCTGGGGAGGTTATTCCTGCCCCCCCGCCTCGCCAGGGGGCAGCCCCGAGTGGGGCACAGGAACTGCGAACACTGGGGGGCGGCAGGAGTCCCTGGCGAGCTACTAACACGGAGCGATGGGGGGGCTGGAGGTGGCGTCTCCCGGACCAGGGCTGAACCGCCCTTGCATTTCCCCGTCCCCCTCCTGAACTGGCCCGTGGCCCACGCCCATCAGGATGGGGGCGAATCTGCCTCCCCCGAGGTCCTGCTGGGTTGGGTGCAGAGGAAGCAACCAAGGGCGGAAGGTGCCAGGGATCGGGACCCTCATGCCAGTGAACGTGGCAGGGTTGAGGGCAGGACTCCTCCAGAGCTCAGGCAACTCCGGTTCATGGTGCTGTGTAATCAGGGGCGGGGGAGTGGGTGACACTGGGTGTCTTGACATGGAGCCCAGTGTTCCCAGGCTCAGGGTGTTAGGGTTTGTCTACACAGGCACTTTACAGGTGTTGCAACTGTCTCGCTCAGGGGTGTGAAAAAACACCCCCCTGAGCGCTGCAAGTTTCAACGCTGTTAAATGCCAGTGTAGACAGCGCCCCAGTGCTGGGAGCTACGCCCCTCGTGGAGGTGGTTTTCTCAGAGCTCTCTCCTAGCGCTGTGCTGTGACTACGCACGTTCAAGCGCTCATTGCCAGTGTAGACAAGCCCTTAGTCGGTTCTGACTAGAACCCAGTAGTCCTGGCTCCCAGCCCTGCCACTCAAACCAGTAGACCTGTCTTGGGTTCTATCCTTGTCTCTGGAGAAGGAGTCCTGCCTCACAGCTCGGCTGCTTGAACCCCAAGACCCCACTCCCCTCCCAGAAACTGGGGATAGAACCCAGGAGTCCTGATTCCGAACTCCCTAGGGGACCGAGGGGACACAGAATTCCCAGATGCTGCTCCTGGGAATGCCACTTATCAAAGCCCCTCTCTTCCCTGCCCTGGCAGCGCTGGGTGGGTGTGGGGCCTGGTGGCTCTGATCCAGTGGGGAGGGTGGAGTTGGGGAGAGCTGTGTCCCGTGGCAGGCAGCCAGCTCAGTGAGCTTTCTCGTGGAGATGCCCCTCATGAGTGTGCTCTGTTCCATTCACGGTCCCTACTTGCTCCCAGCACCAGTCAGGCTGAGCTTGTTAAAGCCCCAGCCCTTGGATGTGCCAAGAGGCAGCTGAGGGGGTAAAGCCCAACCAAGAGGCAGCTGTTACCATTGATCCTATTGGCCTAACCACCCTGTTCCTCTTCTCCCCCCACCCCCATATCTATTGGCCAGGAAAGTGCCTCCAACCCCTGGTATCACTGGGCTGATTGGCCTGAGGGTCTGCCATGTCCAGCCCTGTGGGCTCATCCCCTGCAACCGGGGTTGGGGGTGTAAGAGCCACTTCCCCTCTACTGGGTTGTTAACCCTTTCAGCTGCCAAGCAGACTGCTTAGAACCCACAGTGCGATTACTGTGGCATGTTGGGACACAAGATGCAGACCTCAGGGTGCTGTCGGGGTGAGTAGCAGTCTAGCTCCCATTGTCTTCAGTCAAAATCCCAGCTGGCAGGTTTGCTGGCTATTGTGCTCTATCCCAGAGGTGGCTGCATTAGAATGGTGCTGGGTGGGTCCCTTTTTGGGGGAAAGTGTATATAGACCTGTTGGGCCATGTCCCAGCATTCTGCGATGTGAGAGCAGCCCCCGATGTGACCTGAAACTGCAGGCTGCTCTGCACCTAACTCCCTGTGTGCTCAGGGGGTCAGAGAGAGAGGGCCCAACCCAACACCCCAGCTTCGAAACAGCCAACACTCAGGGGCTAAAACCACACCCATCTCTGATCATTCCCAGATGTTTGTGCTTGGCTCCTTAGGAGCACGTGGTCTGGTAGCTAAAAGAAGAGTGGACTGGGAGTCAGGACTCCTGGGTTTGTTTCTGGGTCTGGGGGGAGTGGGGTCTAGTGGGTAGGTTAGAGCAGGGGGCCTGGGAGTGGGGTCTAGTGCAGGGGTAGGCAAATTTTTTGGCCTGAGGGCCACATCAGGGTATAGAAATTGTATGGCGCGGCATGAATACTCATGGTTCCCAGCCAATGGGATCTGCGGGGGCAGCACTTGGGGCAGGGGCAGTGTGTAGAGCCCTCTGGCTGCCCCTACACATAGGAGCTGGAGGGGGGACATGCCCTGCTTCTGGGAGCCACGCAGAGCCATGACACACGCGGAGCAAGGCAAGCCCCCAACCACGCTCCCCAGCAAGAGCTCGAGAGCCAGATTAAAACATCTGAAGGGCTGGATGCAGCCCCCAGGCTGTAGTTTGCCCACCCCTGGTCTAGTGGGTTAGAGCAGGGGGCTGGAATCAGGATGCCTGGGTTTGGGTTTGGGTTCTGGCTCGGGGGAGTGGGATCTAGTGGGTAGGTTAGAGCAGGGGGCCTGGGAGTCAGGATGCCAGGGTTCTGTCCCCAGCTCAGCTCCTAACTCACTGTGTAAATCATTCTTCTGGGCATCTGTTTTCCTCCTCTGTGCAGTGGGGTTATTGGTACTGACTGAGATAGGGGGATAGCTGATTGTGAGGCTGTATTCCACCTCCTGGGTGATGCGCTTTGGGTGGCGAGCGGGTTCACACTGTCATCCTGAGGTCTGGTTTGTGGATTCCAGGGTTCTGTGTTTTATTTGGATGGGTCTCATATCCAGTGCCGCCAGTTCTCCACCCCCTTCACACGCAGTGCCACTGATTTCCCAACCCCCTTGCAGCCAAATCAGTGCATCCTGTAATGAAATGTCACTGATTGCCTTTCCTCGCTCAACATGTCATCTCTCTCTTGGCCTGGACGTCCTGGTCCCTCATGCAGCGCAGATCTGGGCACCACCTGATACAGGGAAGGCAAAACTTTCACCTGGCTTGCTATTTTCCCCTCCTCCTGTTGAAGGGGCTGGCACAGGCTGCCCATGGCACTGGGTCTGGGGCTGGAAGCGATTGGCACTGGGATGCTCTGTCCAGGGCTCTGGTTTCCAGAGAGGGGGATGTCTCTGGTAGCATTTCTGCTTCACAGCCCTGGGTAATTATCCCACTTTATAGAAGAGGACACTGAATCACAGAGCTGGGAAGTGACTCGCTCAGGGTTACACAGCAAGGCAGTGGCAGAGCTGGGAATAGAACCCAGGAGTCCTGACTCCCAGTCCCGCCCTGCTCTAACTGCAGAGCTCGCTGCAGAAAGCAGCAACCAGCTCTGTGAGGCCCCAGCAGCTCTGCCGGGGGAGGGTCTCTGCATGGGGACCCCAGGAAGAGGCCTTGTCGGGCTTGGCTTCAGCAGACGTTAGTGCTCTTGACGGCAAGGAACAGATTTCACAAGGTTGGTCTGCTGGATTGGGTGTGGGGCTGGGAGGCAGAACTCCAGGGTTCTATCCCCTGCTCTGCCAATGACCTCCTGTGTGACCCCCCGTGCCTCAGTTTCCCCATCTATTTCAGGGGGATAATGCAGTGCATTATCCTTCAGCAGACGTTAGTGCTCTTGACGGCAAGGAACAGATTTCACAAGGTTGGTCTGCTGGATTGGGTGTGGGGCTGGGAGGCAGAACTCCAGGGTTCTATCCCCTGCTCTGCCAATGACCTCCTGTGTGACCCCCCCGTGCCTCAGTTTCCCCATCTATTTCAGGGGGATAATGCAGTGCACATTGTGGCCTCCCAGCCTTGCTGTCCTTCCTGTGTTCCCTGGGGTGGTGGCAGCAAGCTATGCACCCTGCCCCCTTGGAATGGGGGGCATCAGCTGGCTATGCCGGGGGATCTAGCCCACAGCTCCCTGCTACAGTAAGGGGCTGCCCACTTAGCACAGCCCTGGGCACCAAAGGGTTAAATACACAACAGGAGCCATTAGCTTATTGCCCAAGAGCTCTGCCTGGCCATGGGCCAGTCCATGCCAGTCAGATTTCATAATCCATGTGACCATCCAGCCTGACCAGCACAGGCCTCAGGACTGCGCTGGGCTAGCTCCTGCTTGAGCTCGTCCAAAGGAGTTAAAATGGCCAGGGATGGAGAATCCACCACAACCCTCAGTAAACTGTTCTGATAGTTAACGCCCCTCCCTGTTACCCATTCACATCTTATTGCCAGTCTGAGCTGATCTGGCTTCAGCGGCCAGCCACTGGCGTGGGTTAGACTTTCTCTGCTGGGCTGCAGAGCCCATTGTCATAGGGACTGTCAGCCCTGAACCTTCTCTTTGCTAAACTCATTACATTGAGCTCCCAGAGCCTCTTGCTATTGGGCCCCAGAGGTGCACCAGAAAGGGGCCCTTGTCCAGGCTCCCGGGGTGGGGGAGGT